GGACGTTATATCTTAAACATAGGGAGGTAAATCGATCAATCAGATTAATATTATTTAATCATGGAGGCTCGATTTTATTGGTAAAATAGTGGCTAAATGGGGAGAGTAATTATATTAGTCTAGTGGGATGTTTTATTATTTAATTCCATTAAATAGGAATTAATTTATTCCATAATAATTAATTAATTAGGGAATAAAATTCCTACTAGAATCTTCTCTTGGGATTAGGAGACTTGGGAGTCTTCTAGAAGATAAAGATTAGTGGGAAATATATTTCCTACATTATATCAATTAATTAGAGTAAATTTAGGTTTCCTAAATTAGGATTTAATTCTATTCTATGTTTATTAATTTAATTAGGAAAGGAAATTCCTACAAGGATCTTCTCTAGTGTTAGGAGACTTAGGAGTCTTTTAGAAGAGAGGGATTAGTAGGAGATCTCCTTCCTAGATTGAGTTAGTATTGGATTAGAATTAGGAGTCCTAGGCCTAATGGAATAAGCCCATATTTAGCACCTCCTTAAGGTCCCTAATGGAGCCTATATATACACCATGTCCCATACTCTTCTACAGGGTTGTGTTGGCCGATTTTTCTCATCTACATATCATCTACATACACGTGAGATTTGCTTTGTTCGAGAGTTTGGAAGATCCGATTAAACGCTCCACCAAGTTTAATCGGAATAGGTGTTTAGGTAATCCATTAGAAGGCTTTTTGGCACAATTGATTGAGCCTTTATATATATATTCGGTCATCATCACCATCCGATCACCGCCGTCCTCCGCCCTGAACCACCGCCGGAGATCGTCAGTCGCCGCCGGAAGTCAGCCGAGCCTAGCCGATCGCAACCGCGAGTCGTCGCACGCCGTCGCGCATCAGCCAGGCCCGACACCAACTCCCAGCAGCGTCCGCGAGCGATGCCCATGAGGTCACAGCCGCACCTGCTCGTCGCAGATCACCCGCGCATCTCACCAGCACCGCCCGCTTGTCGTCGATCTGCTGCCTGTTCGTACGCCCGTCCGCGATCTGCCACCGGTCGACGTCCGTGCATCACCAGCGCGCCTGTGTGACGCGCGCGACAGTCCGCCCGCGTCCAGGATTCCATGTCCAGCACGCCCGCGTGCGTTCCACTTGCCAGTGCCAGTCCGCGTCTGCATAGGAGTGCTGCCCCACGTGCACGCACACGCCCAGCGTTCGCAATCCGCTGCCAGCTGCCAGTACCCGCGTCCGCAACACGCACGACTGTGCCCAGCTCCCGAC